TAGTAATAATAAAACAAAAACTACAGCATATTAAACACGGATAATTTTACTACATTCTTACAAATTTTCCCGTTTTAAATCCTTTCCGAAGCCTGTAAAAAAGCGAGAGTTTTGGGGCTTTTTTGGGTTTTGGGGCTTTTTTCTCAAAACCCATCCTGGGCACAGAGTATACAGAGGCGGAACTCTCGCCGATTCCTTTGTTCTTTGTGCCCCCGCGCACGTCATTTCCACGCGGCACGCAAATTGCTCTGGCAATTGTCATTCGTCGTGTTTTCAGTCAAAAGCATAGGAAAAACACCGTTGGAAAGTAGAAAAATAAATATTTTTGCGAAGTTGCTCAACCGATCTTCATTTTGGGATTCGAATTTGAAAGATAAATGGTAAGTGGTTATTTTTATGCAAAAAGATATACGTTTATAGGCTAAATACAAAGAAAAACTAGTATAATACAATTTACAATCTCGGTGCTTGTGATGTAACTTCTTGCCAAGAAGCAGATTCCCATTTCGCTAAATTAATGCGGGCCAAACGTATTGCTTTCCTGTCTTTTACATTAATAAGAAAGCATAGGTGCTGATTTGAAACACGTCCATCTGGTTCCATGCATGTAGCTTTCCGATTTGTGAGCAAAAATTAAGAGTCTTAAAAGTTAAACTACCTATGTTTTTAATACTTTCTGTGCAACTAATAACCACATTCACAAATGTATTCTCCAGCAAAGATACGTTTCTTTACGGATTGTTGATCCGCATTTGATGGCATGCTTATGCCTTCAAAGGTCAGAGGTCTTGCACATGCAGAATAGCAGAGACTACTATCATTGATATCCTTTGTCACAAAATTATGATGGCATATTGGACAGATATGTTGGCACTTCCTTTATAATAAATAGCCTGACACATAAGTTCATGCACACTAAGTTTTGTTCAATTTCATTTGTTTTGTAGTCAGTATCTTCAACTGCTTAGGCCCGGTTTAGACGCCGTGCTTTTCATGAGCCGAACTTAATGCAAATGAGCTTAAACAAAGAACTTAGTTAATTAACATTAAGTTCGGCTCATGATAAGCACGGCGTCTAAACCGGGCCTAAATTCCAGGATTTATAGTGGTGGGCTTGTCCGATCATTTCCTGCAGATAAATCAGATTGGCTAGCTATGTAAGGCACTTCCATTATAATAAATAGCCTGACACATAAGTTCATGCAGACTAAGTTTTGTTCAATTTCATTTGTTTTGTAGTCGGTATCTTCAACTGCTTCCAGGATTTGTAGTGGTGGGCTTGTCTGATCATTTCCTGCAGATAAATCAGATTGGCTACGGTGAAATGCAATCAAATAGGCATTACAATCTTCAGCACAGCTGCCAATTGAAAGTGGTGTCAAAATATTATCTACAAATAATATGCAAAATGCTCTGGTGAACTGGATGGGATTAATGGTTGTCACAATCCCCCCCCCCCCTGCTGCCTAAGGCCAAAGAAGTTTTCTAGAGGATGTTGGTTGAGACGTCTTGTCATGAGAAACTCCAAGGAATGATGTTAAGGTCTTGAAATGTAAATACTACAGTGTAATTACTACTGACAGTGTAAATGTTACTGACAGTGTAAATACTACAGTGAAATGTAAATACAACAGTGTAATTGGGGTTTAAAAATACAAAGCTTATTGTAATAAATGTTGTTTATTTTATTTTACATTTATATACATTTAAGAACTTAAATTATTCTAAAACTAAATAAATTAAGTATGTGTTCAATGTCAATAAATATTGCTATATTCTATTTTTTTTATTCCAAAATGGGCAATAACTGTTTCCTATATAACTGATCCCACATGTTGTCATGAAAATTAATACTAAATTTAAAAAGTAGCCAATGATCCATGTCTCCTCTTAAAGTCTTTGCTTTATATGAAAAGTTAAATACTATGAATAATTGCATTGTTCCTTTTATTCATAAAGAGTTTCCCATTAAAAGACAAATTATTCCCAATTAATACTTTGCCTGTTAAAGTGTGCTCACCCCTTGACGAGTAAAATCGTCTGGCGTTAGACAGAGTAAAATAATAAAGTAGGGTGCATCAGGGCACATGCAATGCAACTCAATGGGTTAACTGGATCGCCCGGTGTTAGACAGAATGATAAAGTTGGGTTAACAAGTAAAATTGTCTAGCTTTACAGTACATCTTCCAGGGGGGGCTGGATTTGGGAGCAGGCCTACCACTTTGTGGGGACTGCTTTTTTGAACCTCAATTAAACTATTACAGTAATCCAAAGGCCTGTTTATATGGTTTCCGCGTACTAGGGAAATCCTTCCCCCCGAGCCAACCTGGCAAGAAAAAATTATATTCATATCTTATTATAGCAACTGCCATGCAAGTGTTTGCATGGAAAGTTTTGAACTTGTCTTGCCTAGTGGGATGATCCAGGTAGTAGGGTCACTCCGTCAGGGGGTACAGCATCTCTATTACTCAAGACTAATTATATCAACATTGCCTGAGGCTATGTAAAGTTGGTAGGCATTCCAATATAAGATCAAATAGTTTCAGGTTTTTCCCAATCAGGTGAACAAATTAACATAGTTGTAAGATTCTGCATCTGATTCATTGTAATGAACAATGTAGTTCAACAGGAATAATTGGCAATCTAGAAAAGCAAAATAAAAAATAAAGTAAATAAACAGCTTAGATTATTAAACATTTACAGACTTGGCATGTTTGAGAAATTATTGACCTTTGAGAGCCAAATTAGGTTGCCATTGCACAATAACCAATGCACTAATCTAGGGAAATCACTAAAAAAGTGTAATTTGACCAATCCCCCACCATTGGGTCATCATATAAGTTAAATAAAGTCTATAAGAGTACTTTAGAGTACTGTGGCTCCATGTCCAAGTCCATCAGTCTATGTTGAATATTGATGTTCATATTTTTCGTATCTGAATGCTGTTTATGCAATGTTTAAATTAACGACAACCCTTTTATACAACATTGCACTTCACAAAAATATATTGATAATTTCATATATATGAGCTAGAGAAAAAAAACGCACATATAAAGTTGCCAAGTTCCAGCAGGAGTTCAGGTCTACAGTATCGAATCTTCAGATTGCCAGAAATTCTCTCTCCTTCGGGTGTCTTTCCTCATTTTCGCCGTTAAAAATGGTTTTTGTTCAATTTACTTTCACTAAGAAGACGCAGTGTGGCATTTATTTGAAAAATTCGTGCAGAAAATGAAGATTGATCAGTTACTGCGCTTAAAATCGCCGTTTTACTGCCAAAACCTTGCATTTCCCTATCTTTTTCCTGGTAAAAAATGTGCATGACACTTGCCAGGAGGTCGTGCATGCGCATTAAAAAAGTGGGGACATGATTTGCCTCGAGTTCCGCCTCAGTATATCCTTATCAAATATAAAACACTGCGTAAAGTTGCATATACTTCGTGCATGCATTCAATAAAAACAACGTTTAGGCCTAAAAGTTCTTGACAAAAGCAAGTTTTAAAATAAAGTGTTGCATATAAAATTATTCGGGCCATTTAAATGGCCTGACTGGTTATATTAAAATGGCAAAACAGGAAAGCAAAGCATGTGTTTTTGCTGTCTACGGGCCAAAACAAGACTTAATAGCTTACGTCATAATATGAGCGTACGTCGAAGGTCAACTCGCAGTATAAAAACTACACAAAGTCGTACAGGCCAACACAGTTCAAAACTCACCGGCATAACATGAAAAGCATCATGAATTCCCGTGGTTATAGATTTGTTTCCATGTAGATTCATTGAGCAATCCACGATTATTAAACTTTACAATATTGCTGCAAATGTGCATACAAATATTCCACAAACACCATTCAATAGCCGCGAAAACCAATCAAACTATCCTGAATCATATCCCTTTATAATGAATTTTGAATCTTGGTGCGAGACCTGCAAAAAAGAAACAAGAAAAAGGCTTATACAAAATAATCAAAAGTTTTCAGTACAACAGATAGTTATCGAAAACAGACAACAGGTCATCAAATTCAAAGTCGAAAAGTTTTGTTTTTTTCACATAAAATGTTGAAATTCAACATGTTCTACTACAAAATGTGTCTTCTATTACTTTAAAAAGAACTTCTTACCAGAAAACAGAGCCTTCCAATGCCAAAAACGGATGAAAAAACGTGTTAAAAAGTAGAAAAACACTTTTTATCTTTCGGTCCATTAATTAAACTGACCAATGACCATGCCGTCGAACTATTAACAGGTTTGACAGGAATTGCGATTGCACGTGACCAACGAATGTGTGACGTAATGAGTAACTTCCACTTCGGGCAATAAAAAATGGGAAAACCCCTTAATACGTATGTGACATTCTAATTTTTTAGACACCGTCCTGGTTTTGTCCTGGTATTCCTAATGGACGTTCTTGAAATTAATGCAACTCATTTGTTTTGGTAGTTATCTCCTGATTCTTCTGTATATTTCTCTCCAAGACCATGTAAATTTTAATTATGCATATTAAAAAATGAGTATATCGAATATGTAAGCATGCGACTAATAGTACTTCACCTAATTAATAACAATATATATATATATATATATATATATATATATATATATATATATATATATATATATATATACATATATATAGCTTTAGATTTTGGTTTACGAAACACACACAGTGCTCAATACCATATAGATAGAGCGTAATATAGTTTTTCGTTTTACCTCAAAAAACCACAACAGTCTGTTTCATCCGTTTCATCCGATTTCTATGCGTTTCATCCGATTCCTATACGGATGAAACAGACTGTTGTGGTTTTTTGAGGTAAAACGAAAAACTATATACATATATATATATATATATATATATATATATATATATATATATATATATATATATATATATATATATATATATATATATATATATGTTTTTTATGCAACAATTTTTTTATCTGAAGCTACATGATCTCATTATTTATAGGTACCATCCCTAGGATTCCGTGGTTCACATTATGGAACGCATTTTACATCGGACTCAAGAACATGAACAGAGGATCGTAAACTTGGAAAAACAAGGGCACAATATTTGTATTTTTGGAAGAGCCGGTGTTGGAAAATCTGCAACTGTCCTGGCAATAAAGGAAGCACTTGCAGCCAAAGGTGAAAACGTCCAGATAATTTGCTCAACTGGCATAGCCTGCGAGAGCTATGGAGGAATAGCGAAGACTGTCCATTCGCAGTATCGACTAAGGGTTGCTGAACTACCTTCTCAATTACTGATCGAACGTTCTTTGGGGAAGACTGTTACGGTAAAGCAAGTTGCTGGCATAACGGTATTAATTTCGGATGAAGTATCCATGTCAAGTACCCGAATTTTGGAACTTGTTAACAAAATGCACCACATGGTATGTAACTCCTGGTTGCCAAATAGGGAGCCACAGGGGTTGCAAAGGTACAAGCGTTATTCAAACTCAACAAAACGTAGATAAATTAACACACAAAACTTTATTTCAATACAATGATACAGTCACGAAACGTTTCTTGGTAGCAATTTGCTACGTCAATCAAATGGATATGGTAGCGATAGTTGACAGGTTAGCCTTTAGATCAGGTAGCGGTAGATTGTGTAGCGTAGATATTGTAGCAATATGTAGATAGCAATATGTAGATTGCAATATGTAGATTCGAACTGAAACACGACAATAAAATAAAACTACTAACTAAGTGATATACTTAAGCATGCAATAAACTAACGAATGTCAATGAATAACAAAACTAACTAAACATAAACAAATAAACAATCCAATACTGTAACTTACGTACTTTAGTTTACACCTATATTCCTATAGCTGGCTGCTGTAGATAGATAATTGAAGTAGAAATCCACTATATTTGAATAGGTTGCGTTCGCATGTCCTTTTGTACTACCGTCAATTCAATACTAAAGGGGTGTGACTTAATGTCACGCAAACATACAATGCTGATATGCCACAAGAGCATCACGTAATTATGATCTACTAGATATCCTGTTTCAAACTAACATGGTGTCCAAAACAGTTTTCCATTTGGGGGAATTCAAGTAATTCTTGTTGGAGACTTCTGGCAGCTGAAACCGATACCTAGTCCCTTCGACGAAGGAGAAGTCCATCTATTTGTCAGAGCTTTTTGATAAAGTATTTCAACATCGAATTGAGCTGACCAAAGTTTTACGACAGCGAGAATCAGAGAGCCGTTTTAAGAATTTATTGGATTTATTGCGAAATGGTGAGTGCAGCGAGGAAGCAGAAGAATATGTGCACAGCCTTGAGCGAGAATGCATTCAAGAGGAAGATGGAACAGTCCCCATATATATATTTTAAAAAACTTCACGTGGAAATTCATAATGGAAATGTGCTGGCAACTCTACCTGGTCTATTGGACACGGTAGAGAGTATCGACCATGGAAACACACACTGCTTAGAGAAAACGGTGCCTCAAACAGTATCATTAAAACCTGGATGTAACATAATGCTTATTTACAATATCAACGATCAGTTGAAAAATGGCTACCAGGGAAGCTATATTGGAAAAGATCCGACTGATGACAATGTACTGCTCGTACACTT